ATTATGAATTAAATGAGATTTCTCTATTTTTGTTCTTGATTGAACATGTACCAAACTTATCAAATATTGGTATATTTGTGGAGTTCAACCATTAGAACTTATCAAAGGTTTAGGCACCCTTTGTGGCGTTCACAAATCGAGATTCGTTGGTTTTGTAATTAAGAGGTCATTCAAACTTTTTTTGTTTGGTTGTTTGGTTCAATAATTTACGGGTCGAGATTCTACCGTCTACAACCTGAATTTGGGCTTTCCCGATATTTCAATTAATTCCACGATATCCACGATGATCCCGTACCCGGGTTCGCGTCAAAAATATTTTGTCTTCCCAAGGAATTGTTACTTGAAATTCTTTTTCGACTCCTTGCCAATGATGGTCATGAAAACAATGATAGTCAGGGATAATTTTCTAATAAAATATTTTATCTTCCCAAGGAATTGTTACTCAAAATTCTTTCTCGACTCCTTGCCAAGTTGATATTTAGGTTCAAATCTGTAAGGAATGACTTTCTTTAATTTTTGATACTTCTTTTATGCATTCTGAGTACTGAACTCCATGGACACGACCTCAGCCAATTCAGAATACGTTGTTTTATTTCCAATGAACCTTCCTTTAGCACTCCGAATTTTTTGTTTCCCTCCAGAAAAATTTCATATCCGAACATTGTAGCATCAAATGAAGATTTTTTGTTGTTCCAATGAGGTGATCATGAACTAGTATATTTGTATGCAATCCATTTGCCAGGCAATGTATCACATTTCCACCTCGTACCAGGAGAACGAAATATGGAGCCACCGGATACATCTGTCGTGTTAGATATGGAATCATGAGCTAAAAGGTGGTTCGAATAATAAACAATGTCAATAACAATAGCGATGGATGCAAAAGTGTACATGTTAGAGTTTTATGAAACTTTAAAACCTAATTGCTTTATTTTGAAGATCCTCCATGTCAAACACCAAGAGAATTATAAAGTGTGGAACATACTTTGATTTATTGGGAATAATTCTTTAATGTCGGATCCTAGAATTTGAATCTTGAATATTGACTCTTTTGATTTTTGAGTTTTTAATTTTGATTTTGACTTCTTGCTCCATAATTTTGATTGTCTTGTTCTTCAATTTGACTCTTGATTATGGATTCTTGAATTCTTTATTCCTTGTTCTTAATTGTGGGTTTTGGATCTTCCTCCTCATTATGTTTTTCTTATATTCTTGTATTGATGGGATGACATAAATAATGAGAATCAAATATGAATTAGGGGCCATAACCCTATTTATATTTCCATATGTATTTCACTTATCATGAAATACAATTCTAAAGGAATCCAATCTCTATCCATATAAATCGACCCACACTTTATTTAGATACCTAAAGCCCAATTCTTAATTCTTTATTAGATCACTTTAATATTGGGCTTAACTTTAAGATAACATTTATATACAATTAATTATATATGTCGGCCCATATGACAAATTAAATATTTTCTCAACAATCTCTCACTTGAACCACATATGTTACCTTATAAATATATATAATTTTATGAGTTCAAAACTTTTGCTATTATAATCAAAAGTATCTCTGAACATTCTTATTCATCAATTATGCCGATATAGGATTAAAGTGGTCTTTGTTGCAAGTATCATAACTAAATCATCAATGGTCACGTATATTAATATAATCAAATGACATAGATCAAGTGTTGATATATAGCATGTTACATGTAATGTGACCCAAACATGCATATTTCCAACTTGTCATACCTTATTCTTTAATGAGATCAACCAAAACTTTAATTAGAGTGAAACTAAGTTAAATACTTTATTTATGCAGAATAATCTTTATATATATATATATATATATATATATATACACACACACACAAACTCCCACTAAACAATCATATCATCAATAGATAAAACACCCATATGAGCAATAAATTTATGAAAGATCCTGGGTGGTAGCCCCTTAGTAAGCAGATCCACAAGTACGGAGGTTGTCCTAATATGCTTTATTGAAACCTGACCACTCAGAATTCTTTTCTTGACAACTAGAAACTTAATGTCTATAAATTTTGACATTATCGTGCTCCTCTTAAAATACAAGACTGCTATTGTCACAGAATAACTTAAGTGTCTTGTGATTCCATCAAAAATGTGTTGCCCTGTGACAAAATTCCACGGTCATATTCAATTATCAATATCAGAATATCCAATAATCTCAAATTATTCTGATTTAATTTGTGTGATCATGTAATCCTTAGTTCTCTATAAATACCGAAAAACTCAATTGGCTATTTTTCAAATATCCGTCATAGATTACTTACATATCTGCCCAACATTCCAACAATAAATGCTATATCCGGTTGTGCGCAAACCTAAATATGCATTAAATTCTCAATGGTTGAAGTATAAGGAATTTTCTGTATTTTAGGAACTTTATCAATATATCTCTTTTGAGATAATCCGAAAATATTTCGAGAAAGATCCTGGCATATTTGTGTCTTGAAACAAAAGAGACGTCACCAAGATCTTTCATTTCAAAATTTCATGACAGAAATCTTTTTGTTTCGTGCAATAAACATATATCATTACAAGAAAATAGTAAGTCATCGACATTCAATACCAAAAATATAATTACTCCCACTGAATTTGCGATATACACAACCATCAAATGCATGCATCTCAAAACCAAACGAGATTATCATTTGATGAAATTTGTGATACCATTAACGGGAAGTCTACTTAAGTCTATAGATGGATTTCTTTAATTTGTAAGTCATTTATAGTTCAAAATCAAAATGTGTTACAAATGTCATAATAGTCCTAAAAGAGTCTTTCGTAGAAATCAGAGAAAACGTATCTTTAAAGTCAATGTCTTCCTTTTGAGTAAAGTCATTTACAACAAGACGGGTATTATATTTCTCCACATCACCCTTCGAATCTCTCTTGGTATTAATTATCCATTTACAACCAATGGGTGTTGCACCTTTAGGTAATGGGATGAGTTCCGAAATGACATTGTCTTTTATGTACTTTATCTCTTTATTCATGGCATCAATTCATTCTTGAGAATTATTCTTCTGCATAACTTGATGAAAGTTGATTGATCAGATCTTCTTCCATCAATCAATGACTATAGGGTCATCCAGAATTTCCTTAATTGCATTTATTATAGAGGTTGTTGAGTTTGTTGTTCTGGAACAATCTCTTGATTGTATATATGAGATTTTATAATATTATTTTGATATGAAATTGCCTCTTGAAAAAGATCTGGAATAAGAATTTGTCCCTGATCATGATAATTGTCAATTACAATAGAAGGGATATATACATATTCTTTCTCAAAGATAAAATCATAAACATTAAAACATTACATCCCCCTGCAAACTCTAAATCTTTGAAAAATCGAAAATTTTGAAAATTGACCTATTAGTGAGATCTTTAAAATTTTGTAACCCCTTAACAGTGCTTTACTTGGTACTTTATTGAGAATTTAAGTTGCAATCTTTAGTGATTCTTCCTAAAGAAATTTTGGTAAGGTAAAATGACTAATCATACTTTTTACAATGTCGTTAAGTATTCAGTTTCGTCTCTCAGTAACACTATTCATGCTAGGGGACCCTAGCATGATGTGCTATGAGACAATCTCACATTCCTCTAAGAATTTAGCAAAAGGTCCTGGACATTGTTCTCCTAGTTCGTCATATCTGCCATATTATATCACCATGGCTAGATCTAACATGTTTGATTCTTTTGCTGAGTTTATTTTCAACCTCAGGCTTTTAAGCTTTGAACATGTTCGGTTGTTCTTGATCTTGATTTTGGCTTATTGCTTTATAATTTTGATAGTCTTGTTCTTCAATTTGATTCTTGATTATGAATTCTTGAATTCTTCAATCCTTGTTCTTGATTGTGGGTTTTTGATATCTCTCTTCAATATATTCTCTTGTATTTTTGTGTTGATGAGATGTCACAAATAATGAGAATCACATATAAATTGGGGATCATAACCCTATTTATATTTTGATATGTATTTCACCCATTATGAAATACAATTCTAAAGGAATCTGATCTCTACACATAATTTGGCTCCAATATACCCAATTACTTAATTATTTATTAGATCACTTTAATTTTGGGCTTAACTTTAAGATAATTTGTATATAGAATTAATTGTCCATGTCGGCCCACACAGTAAATTAAATATTTTCCCAACGGCACAAGGTTTGACTCTTGGTGAAGGATACATTTTCTCTGTTGAGACCTTTTTGTCTGAAATTGGAGAATAAATAAATTCAAAGGTAATTCTAATGTAGTATCTCATGTAAAAGTTTAAGTTATTACAAAAGCGATAAAGTTATTTATTTAAATTATTGACATATATGAATGAGCTTACAAGTTGATTTAAAGTAACTATTTGGAAAGTATATCTATGTGTACTTTTCAAGAAAGTTACTTCTAAGTATATCAAGCAACTTTTAAGCTTAACCAAACGTCCTTGCCAACTTCATTTTACATTAAAGTCGGACAAGTAAACAATTTTCATAGATAGGATGTTTGGCCACTGTGATTACTATGGATGTGCAATGTTTTCAACGACATTGTTCATTGGATTCATAATCAATTAACAAACATTTTGGCCTACGATCTTTACCAAAATCCTTACGAGTGCTGATTCATTAGCATACCCAATGAAACGTTCCTTATTGCTAAAATGAATGCTATGGTGGGTGTTTCCCAAGGAAATCTTCGTTATTTTAAGGTAAACAAATGAGTTCATATAAACCGACAGTTTGAAACTGTGGGTGCTCAAAACTTTGAAGAAGGTGAATGGATTATGGAGCAAGAAATGCTAGAGACCAAAATAGATTAATTGTGGCTATATAGTCCTCTTTTACCTGTAACCTTTCATCCATAGAGTAAGGACAGTGTTCATTAGGCATTAAGGCTATATATTAAGGATGGTTTGATGATGGATTTTATTCATTATTGATAAGTCTATTTTCTACACTTATTCGGGACTTGAAACTATAGAATTTTATTACTCTTTTGGCAAAATATGACCGAAATTATGTCATATTACATCTTGTAGGTAAAACTCGACATTTGATGAATAATTGGAGAAAAGAAGCAAAATGTAGTGAAAAATGGCGAAATTCAAAGTTT